TCAATTTATTACTAGTTTTTTTTTAAATTGTAGCCATCGATATCTTTAAATCCATAATTGTATGAATTATTATTGATATTGCAATTGTAATATACGAGGGTTGTCCGGTAAAATCGTGGACAAAGCGTTTTTCTCAAAAAATAATGGGAGCACTGAGCTGAGATTTTCAGCGGATGTTTATTCATCATATTTAAGTGCATCTTAATTTTTTGGATAAAATAAAGACAAAAATAAAGATTTTACTATGCTTGAATGTGCACAGGGTACGGTCTTACGGCGCACGATAAAAAAAACAGGGTTTCATTTGCGAATACATGGGTATTATTTCGAAAAAACGTATTAAATAGATAAGGTTGGGGTAAAAATTATCCTATTTTTAATCCACTATCTATTATTTCGTCTTTTGTAGAATATCGAGGCATTTGCTTAATTTTTGGCAGTTTCCCGAGCATTTGACATGGGAAAGTGGTAAACGCAACACACGAAAAATTGGCGACGTTTTGTGACGTTACTGCGCACCGGAGAGCAGTTCAGTTTGATTTAGATGTAGCAATGACGCCCTAAGAAACTTTAAATGAGTACAGAAGAAAAAAATATAAAAATATCACTAGATCTTTAGGATACAAGGGAAATGGGAGTTTTCTAAGGGGTAGCTTTTTGATCGTGTCCCCGGGTAGAACAAAACATACGGACAAACAGCTACTGACAATAGCAAAATACGCTATCACTGTAGACCGTCGATATAAGATAGCCTATTTAGTTGAATGATCGTGAGAGTACTGTCCATAACTAACTAATAAATCTTCAGAAGGTCCCATGTATGTGCGAGATTGTGCTCCTCGAATGTTTATGGGGGAATAAAGGGAAAACCAAGTATGTGCATCAATGAAATCCCCGAATTTAAGCGGGGCTTATCCAACTTTTATTTTACAAAAAGGAAACGTGACCCTGCTTTAGACACTTTGACGTTATCATCCGTGCGCCGTAAGGCGATACCACACATAACAAAATGTCTCATATTTTGTTTATTTGAGCAGATATCTTTTGAAATTTGCTATATATATTGATGGAAAATGTACTAAAAAGTAGTGAAAGTTTTAGAACGCAGTGATAATTATTTTCAATCTAGACAACTTGTCCACGATATTACCGGACAACCCTCGTATAATTTCCAATTTTTGGCTGCATTGTGAGTTTGCTATGAGGTCACGTGATATGAAAAATCAATACTGATATGACCTCGGTCATACCAAACAAAACAGACATATAAGCGTTAGGCTCATTAATTTCATGGAAATGGACTTAAGTTCCCTTCTTATTTATTTATTTTTTTTTTTTTTAAAAAGAAAACCTCATTTAAAATTTTCATCCAGGGTTTTTTTCTTTACCTAACGAAAGAGGGCGGGTTTATGACATCAGCAACTGTTATCAGTATGATTTTGAAGAAAGGGTTTTGATTATTGTATAATAATTTACGCTGGCTTGTTTCTACTTTATTTTACGGCTCAGAAAAGAAAGAAGATTAACAGCTTCATATATCAGATGTTGGATGAAATACTTTGAAAATTTGACTTGATTAATTTAATCATTTTGTTAAAATAGATTATGAGTGCCTCAGCGCACTAATTCTTCTATTCCTTCACTTTGTAAATGTTTTAAATTGTGTTTCTTTTGTTTATACTATAAACTAAATAAAAATCAACAAGAGGATAAATGATGGCTTATAAAAATTGTTAACAATGGAATTTTTAAGGGGCAAATAATTACTTTAGAGCATAACCATTTCTCTTTCAGCCGTTTTAGAAGTTTCATATTAGTAGCTACTATAAAAACTAAATAAACTAAAAATTAACTACTATTTTGTATTCTGCATTATCAAAATAAATGCTAGAAATTTTCTTAACATTTATATCTTTAAAAATGAAACATTTTAAGTATAAATTTTGTAGTAGCTTTTTTGATTAAGAATACTGTTTTTCATTCTCTATTTTGGAACCAAAGTCATACTATATTATGTGTAATGATAAATTGCAGAGCTGACATATTGTTCAGTTTTCAAAATAAGAACGAAAATAGCAATTGCAAAAGCTGCTAAAGGACTACAGTAGAAAAGTATTTCATTCATATCTAAATGGAGACATGTAGATGCTGATTTTAGACCAAGGGAAGCACGCAATCCTATAAGCTGATGCACGTAAGACATCAAGATATAAAGGTATTTACATTTTTTCTCTAATAATACCTCAGATGTTATGTAGGGAAAAATAGGATAGTTAAATTATGTCAATTAACAAAAAACCTACACAGCTTTGCTGCAATCTGTTCAATAAAGAGATAGAAATAGCTTCCACGATTTAATTTGTCTTATCTACCTCTACGTTAGAAGTATCATTCTGTGTGTCTCTTAGTGAAGTACATTACTTCAAACTACATAATTATGTTCTGGCTGCTTTTCTTTACGGTAAGGTGAATTAATTTGTTCAATGGTGCTGGGTTATTTCTTAATAAGAATTCTTTGATTGATTGCAAATAAAAAAATCTACCAGATTTGAAAACATATGGCGTGAAAGCTAATTCTTAATCGTTGTTAGCTATAAATGATTATCATAGATATAAAATTTGAATTCCCAATTTCCTTTTTTCCTAAAAAAATAAGTATAAAACTCAATCTAATAGATATAAAAAATCTTATTCTCTGTGAATTTTACGAGGAAAATGAAATTGCTGAAAGCTTTAATTAGTGCACATTATAGTTATAAATGAAAAAAAAAAAATGATTTTTGAAATTTATTCAAGCTTTTCTGTGTTCCCTTGTTGATTTCTACAAAACATGACGATTGCATTGGTAACGAAATTTGCGGGCAACAAGAAAATGATAAACGACCTTTGGAATTCATCAATGGTAAGTATTCTTTTGAAGCAATAATAATATACTATGAATCTTCAAGAAAGCATCTATCAATTTTTTTGTACCCAATATACACAATTTTAAAGGTTACAGTTGATGATTCAGTATTTTATAACTATGGCAAGTGTTGAAATTTGACGATCTACTAGTATTTAATATTGGTGGAAAAAAATAGAAAAAAAAAGGTTGACAAATGGTTGAAAGTATTAATCATTAGCCTAATCCGTTCAGCATTTACATATCGTCCAAGTTTCCACATTTGGTATTAAAGTATCTAAAATTCGGATGATGAAAATAACACATGAACAACTTTTCTACCTTTTGTATGCAGTTAATTTCGGTTGGAAGGAAGTCACCGGCATCTCAAGTTTTGTTCCCTTAAAACTGAGAATCCTTTTATCCATGTAAGGACTAAGTACAAAATCATAAAAATAATATCTGTAACCGAGATTTCCTTGTAAGCAAGTTCCTTGTAACCGAGTTATATTGTATGTTGATACTACAATGTCATTTTCTTAATGATATTTTCATCTTTTAAAATGGAACGTTCTAACAAATTATGAGAACAATAATGATATTCTTACTCAAATATTTATTGTTCTGTTCATTCATATACACCTATTAATGTTCGCCTTTTAGAATTTTCAATTATTGAAAAAAGAAAAAAAATTCCAAGACTAAACGTCCGAAATGATATTATTTAATCTGGAGGCATATTTATCTGACATTAACAGCTTTAAGTGTTAATTATTTATATTACCATTGTTGAATTTCGGTATATCGAACACTGATATTTCGAATAGGAATAGTATTTATATGTCGAAATGGGTTAGAAGTCTAAATCACTATTTTTGTAAATTTTTTAACTTAGATATCTCGAATCTTCGGATGGGTACATACCTCTAATTATTTTTAGAATCGGTAGGAGAAGAAAGTAGTGCAGAAAAAATTACAAGTTCTTTAATTTGCAGACCTGAGTAAAAAAAACTGTGATAAGGTATTAAACTGAGCCTCATACTTGTTGATAAGGAGTATGTTCCCTTGCAAAAAAGCTTGGCAGATGTAATTTATCAAGAAGATCAGCAGAATTATTTTATGTATTATAACACCAGTGAGAAGTCTTGAAATCCCCTACTTTCACTTTCATTTTCAGAGGTTAACGCAGACAGACGCATTTTGCCGGAAAACGAATCTGACATGCCACCTCGAGATTTTAACCAAGGAAAGACAACTTGATGTGCTTTGATTTGAGGGGTCACTCAATGCTGAACGAAAATTAGGGACATTGCTATGTGAAGAAATGTTAACATTGCCGCCTATGGGAAAACAATTAGTGGGCTGTACCCAATATGTGAAGCCTATTGGTAAGAGAAAATTCTCACAGAACTTTACTTTGTTTTGAACTCGGTGTTTACTATCATTTCCAATTGTTTAAATTTATGAAAGAAGCAAATTTTAATTTGTTTATACATATTTTGAAACAAATCGATTTGTTAATACCCCCCCCCCCCCCCTTTTAGGAACAGACAGCTTATGCGCATATCTCCCATTGTGTACACATGTAGCATGTAAATTAAATGTATCGATTCTATACAATTTATTAATTCCGAGCCATTAATAGATATTTAGAAAAGGAACAATTATTTTAGAAGTACATCCACCACTATTGTTTATCATCAATACACAAAAGTTCAGAAATGAGGTCGGAATCAGTATTCAGTGAAGTTCAAGGTCAAAGTGAAAGTAGAATGGCAGTAAGTTATCAACACTGCTTAGTGCAGCTATGCTACCTAATGCAGAGTCTTGCAGCATGTAGGTGATATGCATTTGTCATTTTATGAAAGAGGTAAAGAAAAAAGAGGTTTCCATGCTTTATTACAATATTTGTAAATGAAAACTTTTATTTTCATGGAATAGAATTACATGAACGAGGACATACATGTGCATTTTTTCAAAGAAGTCGGTCAGGCTACAGTTGTGTAGAAGTTAAGCAGTGTGTGTGTGAACATGCACACTAACATTTTTTTTTTTTTTATATTTTATTAACTGGATTACATGTATTTGTCTAATGTATAATTATTGTCAGTTACATGCTTTTTACCTGTATTATTAATTTACATGTAATTTAACAATGCTGAGACTAATCAGTGCAAATTCATAATTTTCAATTGATATCAAATTAAGGGCATCAGGGAATGTTGTAGGATTGTGTGTGTTTGATGTCTGTCTGTGAATGTTTTAGGTGCTTTTTGATGCTGATTAATTATTGCACCATTTTTTAAATTGATTTTTTTTTTAGGTTCATGGTGATACAGGTTAACTTTGAGGTTCATGCAGATGGTGTTTAAAACTATCAGTCAGGAAAAACAAACTCATTTGAACACAGCTTGAGTCTTCATATATAAAATGATGGCAGTGCTTTTAATATGTAAGTTGAATTTTCTAAAGCTTCTTTGTGTGTATGTGTGTGTGTGCGGGAGGAGGGGGGGGGGGTGTTAAAGCTTAGTAAATGTAGATTTTAAATGAATATTTGAGCAATGAAAGTGAACATCAAACTAATCTGTACATGTATGCTATATATTTTACAGCTAATATGTTTTAAAGAGAATTTCAAAACAGTTACATTCATAGTGTCGTGTATGATAAAATATTAAGATTAAAAAATATAAGAGTTGAAATTTCTTTAATATTTGTCAGTCAGAATGAGCGACTTGTAAGGAAATTCAAAACTTTCAAAGTTCTCTTTCATTTTCCTACAAATTACAAAATGGTTACCATGGAAACAAAACATTTTCTGTAGACTATTTATTTGATCTGCTCATGCAAGTATTTTTGTTATTTTATAGTTATAATGAATATTTTAGTTCTAATTTCAACTTTAATTAAAAGTACGGGAAAAGTAACACTACATGTGTAATAAGCAATCCATTATTATGATGTCATTATGACGTCATAGATGAGTGACCTTGCATTGGCGTAAAAATTGCTTTGAAACAGATGAATGTTTACAAGAATATAAGGGCTTATAACTTCTTTATTCCTATACCAATTTTCCTGAATGATGCATCAATGGACAGGAAATAATCAGTACTTTCTATTTTTACTACTTTCGGGGTATTTGTAAACTTAATTTTTTTTGTCAATCATGGAGAAACAATGAATTCAAGGGTGAGGGATATAAAATTTTGTGCAAAAATGCATTGATTTTTTAAAATAAGACAAATGGACCCGTATGAGTGCTTGATTATGATTTTGCTTGATGTATTTAAAATTATGAAAGAGAATAAAAATGGTATAAGTACATTAATAGGCTAACCGATGACTTAAAATTTGGGTGCAGTTGTGGCTAGATGGAAGCATTTTAAAAGAATTTGCATATAGAACTGTGCATGCTGTAAAATCTTTATTAATGATTGAATTTTCCTGAAATTTGGCATAATGTCACTACATAGTCTGTAGTATGACTTATGATGTTAAATGTTGTAAAATCCAGAAAATTCTTTTCATATTGGGTACATACCTCTAATTATTTTTAGAATCGGTAGGAGAAGAAAGTAGTGCAGAAAAAATTACAAGTTCTTTAATTTGCAGACCTGAGTAAAAAAAACTGTGATAAGGTATTAAACTGAGCCTCATACTTGTTGATAAGGAGTATGTTCCCTTGCAAAAAAGCTTGGCAGATGTAATTTATCAAGAAGATCAGCAGAATTATTTTATGTATTATAACACCAGTGAGAAGTCTTGAAATCCCCTACTTTCACTTTCATTTTCAGAGGTTAACGCAGACAGACGCATTTTGCCGGAAAACGAATCTGACATGCCACCTCGAGATTTTAACCAAGGAAAGACAACTTGATGTGCTTTGATTTGAGGGGTCACTCAATGCTGAACGAAAATTAGGGACATTGCTATGTGAAGAAATGTTAACATTGCCGCCTATGGGAAAACAATTAGTGGGCTGTACCCAATATGTGAAGCCTATTGGTAAGAGAAAATTCTCACAGAACTTTACTTTGTTTTGAACTCGGTGTTTACTATCATTTCCAATTGTTTAAATTTATGAAAGAAGCAAATTTTAATTTGTTTATACATATTTTGAAACAAATCGATTTGTTAATACCCCCCCCCCCCCTTTTAGGAACAGACAGCTTATGCGCATATCTCCCATTGTGTACACATGTAGCATGTAAATTAAATGTATCGATTCTATACAATTTATTAATTCCGAGCCATTAATAGATATTTAGAAAAGGAACAATTATTTTAGAAGTACATCCACCACTATTGTTTATCATCAATACACAAAAGTTCAGAAATGAGGTCGGAATCAGTATTCAGTGAAGTTCAAGGTCAAAGTGAAAGTAGAATGGCAGTAAGTTATCAACACTGCTTAGTGCAGCTATGCTACCTAATGCAGAGTCTTGCAGCATGTAGGTGATATGCATTTGTCATTTTATGAAAGAGGTAAAGAAAAAAGAGGTTTCCATGCTTTATTACAATATTTGTAAATGAAAACTTTTATTTTCATGGAATAGAATTACATGAACGAGGACATACATGTGCATTTTTTCAAAGAAGTCGGTCAGGCTACAGTTGTGTAGAAGTTAAGCAGTGTGTGTGTGAACATGCACACTAACATTTTTTTTTTTTTTATATTTTATTAACTGGATTACATGTATTTGTCTAATGTATAATTATTGTCAGTTACATGCTTTTTACCTGTATTATTAATTTACATGTAATTTAACAATGCTGAGACTAATCAGTGCAAATTCATAATTTTCAATTGATATCAAATTAAGGGCATCAGGGAATGTTGTAGGATTGTGTGTGTTTGATGTCTGTCTGTGAATGTTTTAGGTGCTTTTTGATGCTGATTAATTATTGCACCATTTTTTAAATTGATTTTTTTTTTAGGTTCATGGTGATACAGGTTAACTTTGAGGTTCATGCAGATGGTGTTTAAAACTATCAGTCAGGAAAAACAAACTCATTTGAACACAGCTTGAGTCTTCATATATAAAATGATGGCAGTGCTTTTAATATGTAAGTTGAATTTTCTAAAGCTTCTTTGTGTGTATGTGTGTGTGTGCGGGAGGAGGGGGGGGGGTGTTAAAGCTTAGTAAATGTAGATTTTAAATGAATATTTGAGCAATGAAAGTGAACATCAAACTAATCTGTACATGTATGCTATATATTTTACAGCTAATATGTTTTAAAGAGAATTTCAAAACAGTTACATTCATAGTGTCGTGTATGATAAAATATTAAGATTAAAAAATATAAGAGTTGAAATTTCTTTAATATTTGTCAGTCAGAATGAGCGACTTGTAAGGAAATTCAAAACTTTCAAAGTTCTCTTTCATTTTCCTACAAATTACAAAATGGTTACCATGGAAACAAAACATTTTCTGTAGACTATTTATTTGATCTGCTCATGCAAGTATTTTTGTTATTTTATAGTTATAATGAATATTTTAGTTCTAATTTCAACTTTAATTAAAAGTACGGGAAAAGTAACACTACATGTGTAATAAGCAATCCATTATTATGATGTCATTATGACGTCATAGATGAGTGACCTTGCATTGGCGTAAAAATTGCTTTGAAACAGATGAATGTTTACAAGAATATAAGGGCTTATAACTTCTTTATTCCTATACCAATTTTCCTGAATGATGCATCAATGGACAGGAAATAATCAGTACTTTCTATTTTTACTACTTTCGGGGTATTTGTAAACTTAATTTTTTTTGTCAATCATGGAGAAACAATGAATTCAAGGGTGAGGGATATAAAATTTTGTGCAAAAATGCATTGATTTTTTAAAATAAGACAAATGGACCCGTATGAGTGCTTGATTATGATTTTGCTTGATGTATTTAAAATTATGAAAGAGAATAAAAATGGTATAAGTACATTAATAGGCTAACCGATGACTTAAAATTTGGGTGCAGTTGTGGCTAGATGGAAGCATTTTAAAAGAATTTGCATATAGAACTGTGCATGCTGTAAAATCTTTATTAATGATTGAATTTTCCTGAAATTTGGCATAATGTCACTACATAGTCTGTAGTATGACTTATGATGTTAAATGTTGTAAAATCCAGAAAATTCTTTTCATATTGGGTACATACCTCTAATTATTTTTAGAATCGGTAGGAGAAGAAAGTAGTGCAGAAAAAATTACAAGTTCTTTAATTTGCAGACCTGAGTAAAAAAAACTGTGATAAGGTATTAAACTGAGCCTCATACTTGTTGATAAGGAGTATGTTCCCTTGCAAAAAAGCTTGGCAGATGTAATTTATCAAGAAGATCAGCAGAATTATTTTATGTATTATAACACCAGTGAGAAGTCTTGAAATCCCCTACTTTCACTTTCATTTTCAGAGGTTAACGCAGACAGACGCATTTTGCCGGAAAACGAATCTGACATGCCACCTCGAGATTTTAACCAAGGAAAGACAACTTGATGTGCTTTGATTTGAGGGGTCACTCAATGCTGAACGAAAATTAGGGACATTGCTATGTGAAGAAATGTTAACATTGCCGCCTATGGGAAAACAATTAGTGGGCTGTACCCAATATGTGAAGCCTATTGGTAAGAGAAAATTCTCACAGAACTTTACTTTGTTTTGAACTCGGTGTTTACTATCATTTCCAATTGTTTAAATTTATGAAAGAAGCAAATTTTAATTTGTTTATACATATTTTGAAACAAATCGATTTGTTAATACCCCCCCCCCCCCTTTTAGGAACAGACAGCTTATGCGCATATCTCCCATTGTGTACACATGTAGCATGTAAATTAAATGTATCGATTCTATACAATTTATTAATTCCGAGCCATTAATAGATATTTAGAAAAGGAACAATTATTTTAGAAGTACATCCACCACTATTGTTTATCATCAATACACAAAAGTTCAGAAATGAGGTCGGAATCAGTATTCAGTGAAGTTCAAGGTCAAAGTGAAAGTAGAATGGCAGTAAGTTATCAACACTGCTTAGTGCAGCTATGCTACCTAATGCAGAGTCTTGCAGCATGTAGGTGATATGCATTTGTCATTTTATGAAAGAGGTAAAGAAAAAAGAGGTTTCCATGCTTTATTACAATATTTGTAAATGAAAACTTTTATTTTCATGGAATAGAATTACATGAACGAGGACATACATGTGCATTTTTTCAAAGAAGTCGGTCAGGCTACAGTTGTGTAGAAGTTAAGCAGTGTGTGTGTGAACATGCACACTAACATTTTTTTTTTTTTTATATTTTATTAACTGGATTACATGTATTTGTCTAATGTATAATTATTGTCAGTTACATGCTTTTTACCTGTATTATTAATTTACATGTAATTTAACAATGCTGAGACTAATCAGTGCAAATTCATAATTTTCAATTGATATCAAATTAAGGGCATCAGGGAATGTTGTAGGATTGTGTGTGTTTGATGTCTGTCTGTGAATGTTTTAGGTGCTTTTTGATGCTGATTAATTATTGCACCATTTTTTAAATTGATTTTTTTTTTAGGTTCATGGTGATACAGGTTAACTTTGAGGTTCATGCAGATGGTGTTTAAAACTATCAGTCAGGAAAAACAAACTCATTTGAACACAGCTTGAGTCTTCATATATAAAATGATGGCAGTGCTTTTAATATGTAAGTTGAATTTTCTAAAGCTTCTTTGTGTGTATGTGTGTGTGTGCGGGAGGAGGGGGGGGGGGTGTTAAAGCTTAGTAAATGTAGATTTTAAATGAATATTTGAGCAATGAAAGTGAACATCAAACTAATCTGTACATGTATGCTATATATTTTACAGCTAATATGTTTTAAAGAGAATTTCAAAACAGTTACATTCATAGTGTCGTGTATGATAAAATATTAAGATTAAAAAATATAAGAGTTGAAATTTCTTTAATATTTGTCAGTCAGAATGAGCGACTTGTAAGGAAATTCAAAACTTTCAAAGTTCTCTTTCATTTTCCTACAAATTACAAAATGGTTACCATGGAAACAAAACATTTTCTGTAGACTATTTATTTGATCTGCTCATGCAAGTATTTTTGTTATTTTATAGTTATAATGAATATTTTAGTTCTAATTTCAACTTTAATTAAAAGTACGGGAAAAGTAACACTACATGTGTAATAAGCAATCCATTATTATGATGTCATTATGACGTCATAGATGAGTGACCTTGCATTGGCGTAAAAATTGCTTTGAAACAGATGAATGTTTACAAGAATATAAGGGCTTATAACTTCTTTATTCCTATACCAATTTTCCTGAATGATGCATCAATGGACAGGAAATAATCAGTACTTTCTATTTTTACTACTTTCGGGGTATTTGTAAACTTAATTTTTTTTGTCAATCATGGAGAAACAATGAATTCAAGGGTGAGGGATATAAAATTTTGTGCAAAAATGCATTGATTTTTTAAAATAAGACAAATGGACCCGTATGAGTGCTTGATTATGATTTTGCTTGATGTATTTAAAATTATGAAAGAGAATAAAAATGGTATAAGTACATTAATAGGCTAACCGATGACTTAAAATTTGGGTGCAGTTGTGGCTAGATGGAAGCATTTTAAAAGAATTTGCATATAGAACTGTGCATGCTGTAAAATCTTTATTAATGATTGAATTTTCCTGAAATTTGGCATAATGTCACTACATAGTCTGTAGTATGACTTATGATGTTAAATGTTGTAAAATCCAGAAAATTCTTTTCATATTGGGTACATACCTCTAATTATTTTTAGAATCGGTAGGAGAAGAAAGTAGTGCAGAAAAAATTACAAGTTCTTTAATTTGCAGACCTGAGTAAAAAAAACTGTGATAAGGTATTAAACTGAGCCTCATACTTGTTGATAAGGAGTATGTTCCCTTGCAAAAAAGCTTGGCAGATGTAATTTATCAAGAAGATCAGCAGAATTATTTTATGTATTATAACACCAGTGAGAAGTCTTGAAATCCCCTACTTTCACTTTCATTTTCAGAGGTTAACGCAGACAGACGCATTTTGCCGGAAAACGAATCTGACATGCCACCTCGAGATTTTAACCAAGGAAAGACAACTTGATGTGCTTTGATTTGAGGGGTCACTCAATGCTGAACGAAAATTAGGGACATTGCTATGTGAAGAAATGTTAACATTGCCGCCTATGGGAAAACAATTAGTGGGCTGTACCCAATATGTGAAGCCTATTGGTAAGAGAAAATTCTCACAGAACTTTACTTTGTTTTGAACTCGGTGTTTACTATCATTTCCAATTGTTTAAATTTATGAAAGAAGCAAATTTTAATTTGTTTATACATATTTTGAAACAAATCGATTTGTTAATACCCCCCCCCCCCCTTTTAGGAACAGACAGCTTATGCGCATATCTCCCATTGTGTACACATGTAGCATGTAAATTAAATGTATCGATTCTATACAATTTATTAATTCCGAGCCATTAATAGATATTTAGAAAAGGAACAATTATTTTAGAAGTACATCCACCACTATTGTTTATCATCAATACACAAAAGTTCAGAAATGAGGTCGGAATCAGTATTCAGTGAAGTTCAAGGTCAAAGTGAAAGTAGAATGGCAGTAAGTTATCAACACTGCTTAGTGCAGCTATGCTACCTAATGCAGAGTCTTGCAGCATGTAGGTGATATGCATTTGTCATTTTATGAAAGAGGTAAAGAAAAAAGAGGTTTCCATGCTTTATTACAATATTTGTAAATGAAAACTTTTATTTTCATGGAATAGAATTACATGAACGAGGACATACATGTGCATTTTTTCAAAGAAGTCGGTCAGGCTACAGTTGTGTAGAAGTTAAGCAGTGTGTGTGTGAACATGCACACTAACATTTTTTTTTTTTTTATATTTTATTAACTGGATTACATGTATTTGTCTAATGTATAATTATTGTCAGTTACATGCTTTTTACCTGTATTATTAATTTACATGTAATTTAACAATGCTGAGACTAATCAGTGCAAATTCATAATTTTCAATTGATATCAAATTAAGGGCATCAGGGAATGTTGTAGGATTGTGTGTGTTTGATGTCTGTCTGTGAATGTTTTAGGTGCTTTTTGATGCTGATTAATTATTGCACCATTTTTTAAATTGATTTTTTTTTTAGGTTCATGGTGATACAGGTTAACTTTGAGGTTCATGCAGATGGTGTTTAAAACTATCAGTCAGGAAAAACAAACTCATTTGAACACAGCTTGAGTCTTCATATATAAAATGATGGCAGTGCTTTTAATATGTAAGTTGAATTTTCTAAAGCTTCTTTGTGTGTATGTGTGTGTGTGCGGGAGGAGGGGGGGGGGGTGTTAAAGCTTAGTAAATGTAGATTTTAAATGAATATTTGAGCAATGAAAGTGAACATCAAACTAATCTGTACATGTATGCTATATATTTTACAGCTAATATGTTTTAAAGAGAATTTCAAAACAGTTACATTCATAGTGTCGTGTATGATAAAATATTAAGATTAAAAAATATAAGAGTTGAAATTTCTTTAATATTTGTCAGTCAGAATGAGCGACTTGTAAGGAAATTCAAAACTTTCAAAGTTCTCTTTCATTTTCCTACAAATTACAAAATGGTTACCATGGAAACAAAACATTTTCTGTAGACTATTTATTTGATCTGCTCATGCAAGTATTTTTGTTATTTTATAGTTATAATGAATATTTTAGTTCTAATTTCAACTTTAATTAAAAGTACGGGAAAAGTAACACTACATGTGTAATAAGCAATCCATTATTATGATGTCATTATGACGTCATAGATGAGTGACCTTGCATTGGCGTAAAAATTGCTTTGAAACAGATGAATGTTTACAAGAATATAAGGGCTTATAACTTCTTTATTCCTATACCAATTTTCCTGAATGATGCATCAATGGACAGGAAATAATCAGTACTTTCTATTTTTACTACTTTCAGGGTATTTGTAAACTTAATTTTTTTTGTCAATCATGGAGAAACAATGAATTCAAGGGTGAGGGATATAAAATTTTGTGCAAAAATGCATTGATTTTTTAAAATAAGACAAATGGACCCGTATGAGTGCTTGATTATGATTTTGCTTGATGTATTTAAAATTATGAAAGAGAATAAAAATGGTATAAGTACATTAATAGGCTAACCGATGACTTAAAATTTGGGTGCAGTTGTGGCTAGATGGAAGCATTTTAAAAGAATTTGCATATAGAACTGTGCATGCTGTAAAATCTTTATTAATGATTGAATTTTCCTGAAATTTGGCATAATGTCACTACATAGTCTGTAGTATGACTTATGATGTTAAATGTTGTAAAATCCAGAAAATTCTTTTCATATTGGGTACATACCTCTAATTATTTTTAGAATCGGTAGGAGAAGAAAGTAGTGCAGAAAAAATTACAAGTTCTTTAATTTGCAGACCTGAGTAAAAAAAACTGTGATAAGGTATTAAACTGAGCCTCATACTTGTTGATAAGGAGTATGTTCCCTTGCAAAAAAGCTTGGCAGATGTAATTTATCAAGAAGATCAGCAGAATTATTTTATGTATTATAACACCAGTGAGAAGTCTTGAAATCCCCTACTTTCACTTTCATTTTCAGAGGTTAACGCAGACAGACGCATTTTGCCGGAAAACGAATCTGACATGCCACCTCGAGATTTTAACCAAGGAAAGACAACTTGATGTGCTTTGATTTGAGGGGTCACTCAATGCTGAACGAAAATTAGGGACATTGCTATGTGAAGAAATGTTAACATTGCCGCCTATGGGAAAACAATTAGTGGGCTGTACCCAATATGTGAAGCCTATTGGTAAGAGAAAATTCTCACAGAACTTTACTTTGTTTTGAACTCGGTGTTTACTATCATTTCCAATTGTTTAAATTTATGAAAGAAGCAAATTTTAATTTGTTTATACATATTTTGAAACAAATCGATTTGTTAATACCCCCCCCCCCCCCCCTTTTAGGAACAGACAGCTTATGCGCATATCTCCCATTGTGTACACATGTAGCATGTAAATTAAATGTATCGATTCTATACAATTTATTAATTCCGAGCCATTAATAGATATTTAGAAAAGGAACAATTATTTTAGAAGTACATCCACCACTATTGTTTATCATCAATACACAAAAGTTCAGAAATGAGGTCGGAATCAGTATTCAGTGAAGTTCAAGGTCAAAGTGAAAGTAGAATGGCAGTAAGTTATCAACACTGCTTAGTGCAGCTATGCTACCTAATGCAGAGTCTTGCAGCATGTAGGTGATATGCATTTGTCATTTTATGAAAGAGGTAAAGAAAAAAGAGGTTTCCATGCTTTATTACAATATTTGTAAATGAAAACTTTTATTTTCATGGAATAGAATTACATGAACGAGGACATACATGTGCATTTTTTCAAAGAAGTCGGTCAGGCTACAGTTGTGTAGAAGTTAAGCAGTGTGTGTGTGAACATGCACACTAACATTTTTTTTTTTTTTATATTTTATTAACTGGATTACATGTATTTGTCTAATGTATAATTATTGTCAGTTACATGCTTTTTACCTGTATTATTAATTTACATGTAATTTAACAATGCTGAGACTAATCAGTGCAAATTCATAATTTTCAATTGATATCAAATTAAGGGCATCAGGGAATGTTGTAGGATTGTGTGTGTTTGATGTCTGTCTGTGAATGTTTTAGGTGCTTTTTGATGCTGATTAATTATTGCACCATTTTTTAAATTGATTTTTTTTTTAGGTTCATGGTGATACAGGTTAACTTTGAGGTTCATGCAGATGGTGTTTAAAACTATCAGTCAGGAAAAACAAACTCATTTGAACACAGCTTGAGTCTTCATATATAAAATGATGGCAGTGCTTTTAATATGTAAGTTGAATTTTCTAAAGCTTCTTTGTGTGTATGTGTGTGTGTGCGGGAGGAGGGGGGGGGGTGTTAAAGCTTAGTAAATGTAGATTTTAAATGAATATTTGAGCAATGAAAGTGAACATCAAACTAATCTGTACATGTATGCTATATATTTTACAGCTAATATGTTTTAAAGAGAATTTCAAAACAGTTACATTCATAGTGTCGTGTATGATAAAATATTAAGATTAAAAAATATAAGAGTTGAAATTTCTTTAATATTTGTCAGTCAGAATGAGCGACTTGTAAGGAAATTCAAAACTTTCAAAGTTCTCTTTCATTTTCCTACAAATTACAAAATGGTTACCATGGAAACAAAACATTTTCTGTAGACTATTTATTTGATCTGCTCATGCAAGTATTTTTGTTATTTTATAGTTATAATGAATATTTTAGTTCTAATTTCAACTTTAATTAAAAGTATACGGGAAAAGTAACACTACATGTGTAATAAGCAATCCATTATTATGATGTCATTATGACGTCATAGATGAGTGACCTTGCATTGGCGTAAAAATTGCTTTGAAACAGATGAATGTTTACAAGAATATAAGGGCTTATAACTTCTTTATTCCTATACCAATTTTCCTGAATGATGCATCAATGGACAGGAAATAATCAGTACTTTCTATTTTTACTACTTTCGGGGTATTTGTAAACTTAATTTTTTTTGTCAATCATGGAGAAACAATGAATTCAAGGGTGAGGGATATAAAATTTTGTGCAAAAATGCATTGATTTTTTAAAATAAGACAAATGGACCCGTATGAGTGCTTGATTATGATTTTGCTTGATGTATTTAAAATTATGAAAGAGAATAAAAATGGTATAAGTACATTAATAGGCTAACCGATGACTTAAAATTTGGGTGCAGTTGTGGCTAGATGGAAGCATTTTAAAAGAATTTGCATATAGAACTGTGCATGCTGTAAAATCTTTATTAATGATTGAATTTTCCTGAAATTTGGCATAATGTCACTACATAGTCTGTAGTATGACTTATGATGTTAAATGTTGTAAAATCCAGAAAATTCTTTTCAATATGTGAAGCCTATTGGTAAGAGAAAATTCTCACAGAACTTTACTTTGTTTTGAACTCGGTGTTTACTATCATTTCCAATTGTTTAAATTTATGAAAGAAGCAAATTTTAATTTGTTTATACATATTTTGAAACAAATCGATTTGTTAATACCCCCCCCCCCCCCCCTTTTAGGAACAGACAGCTTATGCGCATATCTCCCATTGTGTACACATGTAGCATGTAAATTAAATGTATCGATTCTATACAATTTATTAATTCCGAGCCATTAATAGATATTTAGAAAAGGAACAATTATTTTAGAAGTACATCCACCACTATTGTTTATCATCAATACACAAAAGTTCAGAAATGAGGTCGGAATCAGTATTCAGTGAAGTTCAAGGTCAAAGTGAAAGTAGAATGGCAGTAAGTTATCAACACTGCTTAGTGCAGCTATGCTACCTAATGCAGAGTCTTGCAGCATGTAGGTGATATGCATTTGTCATTTTATGAAAGAGGTAAAGAAAAAAGAGGTTTCCATGCTTTATTACAATATTTGTAAATGAAAACTTTTATTTTCATGGAATAGAATTACATGAACGAGGACATACATGTGCATTTTTTCAAAGAAGTCGGTCAGGCTACAGTTGTGTAGAAGTTAAGCAGTGTGTGTGTGAACATGCACACTAACATTTTTTTTTTTTTTATATTTTATTAACTGGATTACATGTATTTGTCTAATGTATAATTATTGTCAGTTACATGCTTTTTACCTGTATTATTAATTTACATGTAATTTAACAATGCTGAGACTAATCAGTGCAAATTCATAATTTTCAATTGATATCAAATTAAGGGCATCAGGGAATGTTGTAGGATTGTGTGTGTTTGATGTCTGTCTGTGAATGTTTTAGGTGCTTTTTGATGCTGATTAATTATTGCACCATTTTTTAAATTGATTTTTTTTTTAGGTTCATGGTGATACAGGTTAACTTTGAGGTTCATGCAGATGGTGTTTAAAACTATCAGTCAGGAAAAACAAACTCATTTGAACACAGCTTGAGTCTTCATATATAAAATGATGGCAGTGCTTTTAATATGTAAGTTGAATTTTCTAAAGCTTCTTTGTGTGTATGTGTGTGTGTGCGGGAGGAGGGGGGGGGGGGTGTTAAAGCTTAGTAAATGTAGATTTTAAATGAATATTTGAGCAATGAAAGTGAACATCAAACTAATCTGTACATGTATGCTATATATTTTACAGCTAATATGTTTTAAAGAGAATTTCAAAACAGTTACATTCATAGTGTCGTGTATGATAAAATATTAAGATTAAAAAATATAAGAGTTGAAATTTCTTTAATATTTGTCAGTCAGAATGAGCGACTTGTAAGGAAATTCAAAACTTTCAAAGTTCTCTTTCATTTTCCTACAAATTACAAAATGGTTACCATGGAAACAAAACATTTTCTGTAGACTATTTATTTGATCTGCTCATGCAAGTATTTTTGTTATTTTATAGTTATAATGAATATTTTAGTTCTAATTTCAACTTTAATTAAAAGTACGGGAAAAGTAACACTACATGTGTAATAAGCAATCCATTATTATGATGTCATTATGACGTCATAGATGAGTGACCTTGCATTGGCGTAAAAATTGCTTTGAAACAGATGAATGTTTACAAGAATATAAGGGCTTATAACTTCTTTATTCCTATACCAATTTTCCTGAATGATGCATCAATGGACAGGAAATAATCAGTACTTTCTATTTTTACTACTTTCAGGGTATTTGTAAACTTAATTTTTTTTGTCAATCATGGAGAAACAATGAATTCAAGGGTGAGGGATATAAAATTTTGTGCAAAAATGCATTGATTTTTTAAAATAAGACAAATGGACCCGTATGAGTGCTTGATTATGATTTTGCTTGATGTATTTAAAATTATGAAAGAGAATAAAAATGGTATAAGTACATTAATAGGCTAACCGATGACTTAAAATTTGGGTGCAGTTGTGGCTAGATGGAAGCATTTTAAAAGAATTTGCATATAGAACTGTGCATGCTGTAAAATCTTTATTAATGATTGAATTTTCCTGAAATTTGGCATAATGTCACTACATAGTCTGTAGTATGACTTATGATGTTAAATGTTGTAAAATCCAGAAAATTCTTTTCATATTGGGTACATACCTCTAATTATTTTTAGAATCGGTAGGAGAAGAAAGTAGTGCAGAAAAAATTACAAGTTCTTTAATTTGCAGACCTGAGTAAAAAAAACTGTGATAAGGTATTAAACTGAGCCTCATACTTGTTGATAAGGAGTATGTTCCCTTGCAAAAAAGCTTGGCAGATGTAATTTATCAAGAAGATCAGCAGAATTATTTTATGTATTATAACACCAGTGAGAAGTCTTGAAATCCCCTACTTTCACTTTCATTTTCAGAGGTTAACGCAGACAGACGCATTTTGCCGGAAAACGAATCTGACATGCCACCTCGAGATTTTAACCAAGGAAAGACAACTTGATGTGCTTTGATTTGAGGGGTCACTCAATGCTGAACGAAAATTAGGGACATTGCTATGTGAAGAAATGTTAACATTGCCGCCTATGGGAAAACAATTAGTGGGCTGTACCCAATATGTGAAGCCTATTGGTAAGAGAAAATTCTCACAGAACTTTACTTTGTTTTGAACTCGGTGTTTACTATCATTTCCAATTGTTTAAATTTATGAAAGAAGCAAATTTTAATTTGTTTATACATATTTTGAAACAAATCGATTTGTTAATACCCCCCCCCCCCCCTTTTAGGAACAGACAGCTTATGCGCATATCTCCCATTGTGTACACATGTAGCATGTAAATTAAATGTATCGATTCTATACAATTTATTAATTCCGAGCCATTAATAGATATTTAGAAAAGGAACAATTATTTTAGAAGTACATCCACCACTATTGTTTATCATCAATACACAAAAGTTCAGAAATGAGGTCGGAATCAGTATTCAGTGAAGTTCAAGGTCAAAGTGAAAGTAGAATGGCAGTAAGTTATCAACACTGCTTAGTGCAGCTATGCTACCTAATGCAGAGTCTTGCAGCATGTAGGTGATATGCATTTGTCATTTTATGAAAGAGGTAAAGAAAAAAGAGGTTTCCATGCTTTATTACAATATTTGTAAATGAAAACTTTTATTTTCATGGAATAGAATTACATGAACGAGGACATACATGTGCATTTTTTCAAAGAAGTCGGTCAGGCTACAGTTGTGTAGAAGTTAAGCAGTGTGTGTGTGAACATGCACACTAACATTTTTTTTTTTTTTATATTTTATTAACTGGATTACATGTATTTGTCTAATGTATAATTATTGTCAGTTACATGCTTTTTACCTGTATTATTAATTTACATGTAATTTAACAATGCTGAGACTAATCAGTGCAAATTCATAATTTTCAATTGATATCAAATTAAGGGCATCAGGGAATGTTGTAGGATTGTGTGTGTTTGATGTCTGTCTGTGAATGTTTTAGGTGCTTTTTGATGCTGATTAATTATTGCACCATTTTTTAAATTGATTTTTTTTTTAGGTTCATGGTGATACAGGTTAACTTTGAGGTTCATGCAGATGGTGTTTAAAACTATCAGTCAGGAAAAACAAACTCATTTGAACACAGCTTGAGTCTTCATATATAAAATGATGGCAGTGCTTTTAATATGTAAGTTGAATTTTCTAAAGCTTCTTTGTGTGTATGTGTGTGTGTGCGGGAGGAGGGGGGGGGGGTGTTAAAGCTTAGTAAATGTAGATTTTAAATGAATATTTGAGCAATGAAAGTGAACATCAAACTAATCTGTACATGTATGCTATATATTTTACAGCTAATATGTTTTAAAGAGAATTTCAAAACAGTTACATTCATAGTGTCGTGTATGATAAAATATTAAGATTAAAAAATATAAGAGTTGAAATTTCTTTAATATTTGTCAGTCAGAATGAGCGACTTGTAAGGAAATTCAAAACTTTCAAAGTTCTCTTTCATTTTCCTACAAATTACAAAATGGTTACCATGGAAACAAAACATTTTCTGTAGACTATTTATTTGATCTGCTCATGCAAGTATTTTTGTTATTTTATAGTTATAATGAATATTTTAGTTCTAATTTCAACTTTAATTAAAAGTACGGGAAAAGTAACACTACATGTGTAATAAGCAATCCATTATTATGATGTCATTATGACGTCATAGATGAGTGACCTTGCATTGGCGTAAAAATTGCTTTGAAACAGATGAATGTTTACAAGAATATAAGGGCTTATAACTTCTTTATTCCTATACCAATTTTCCTGAATGATGCATCAATGGACAGGAAATAATCAGTACTTTCTATTTTTACTACTTTCAGGGTATTTGTAAACTTAATTTTTTTTGTCAATCATGGAGAAACAATGAATTCAAGGGTGAGGGATATAAAATTTTGTGCAAAAATGCATTGATTTTTTAAAATAAGACAAATGGACCCGTATGAGTGCTTGATTATGATTTTGCTTGATGTATTTAAAATTATGAAAGAGAATAAAAATGGTATAAGTACATTAATAGGCTAACCGATGACTTAAAATTTGGGTGCAGTTGTGGCTAGATGGAAGCATTTTAAAAGAATTTGCATATAGAACTGTGCATGCTGTAAAATCTTTATTAATGATTGAATTTTCCTGAAATTTGGCATAATGTCACTACATAGTCTGTAGTATGACTTATGATGTTAAATGTTGTAAAATCCAGAAAATTCTTTTCATATTGGGTACATACCTCTAATTATTTTTAGAATCGGTAGGAGAAGAAAGTAGTGCAGAAAAAATTACAAGTTCTTTAATTTGCAGACCTGAGTAAAAAAAACTGTGATAAGGTATTAAACTGAGCCTCATACTTGTTGATAAGGAGTATGTTCCCTTGCAAAAAAGCTTGGCAGATGTAATTTATCAAGAAGATCAGCAGAATTATTTTATGTATTATAACACCAGTGAGAAGTCTTGAAATCCCCTACTTTCACTTTCATTTTCAGAGGTTAACGCAGACAGACGCATTTTGCCGGAAAACGAATCTGACATGCCACCTCGAGATTTTAACCAAGGAAAGACAACTTGATGTGCTTTGATTTGAGGGGTCACTCAATGCTGAACGAAAATTAGGGACATTGCTATGTGAAGAAATGTTAACATTGCCGCCTATGGGAAAACAATTAGTGGGCTGTACCCAATATGTGAAGCCTATTGGTAAGAGAAAATTCTCACAGAACTTTACTTTGTTTTGAACTCGGTGTTTACTATCATTTCCAATTGTTTAAATTTATGAAAGAAGCAAATTTTAATTTGTTTATACATATTTTGAAACAAATCGATTTGTTAATACCCCCCCCCCCCCCCCTTTTAGGAACAGACAGCTTATGCGCATATCTCCCATTGTGTACACATGTAGCATGTAAATTAAATGTATCGATTCTATACAATTTATTAATTCCGAGCCATTAATAGATATTTAGAAAAGGAACAATTATTTTAGAAGTACATCCACCACTATTGTTTATCATCAATACACAAAAGTTCAGAAATGAGGTCGGAATCAGTATTCAGTGAAGTTCAAGGTCAAAGTGAAAGTAGAATGGCAGTAAGTTATCAACACTGCTTAGTGCAGCTATGCTACCTAATGCAGAGTCTTGCAGCATGTAGGTGATATGCATTTGTCATTTTATGAAAGAGGTAAAGAAAAAAGAGGTTTCCATGCTTTATTACAATATTTGTAAATGAAAACTTTTATTTTCATGGAATAGAATTACATGAACGAGGACATACATGTGCATTTTTTCAAAGAAGTCGGTCAGGCTACAGTTGTGTAGAAGTTAAGCAGTGTGTGTGTGAACATGCACACTAACATTTTTTTTTTTTTTATATTTTATTAACTGGATTACATGTATTTGTCTAATGTATAATTATTGTCAGTTACATGCTTTTTACCTGTATTATTAATTTACATGTAATTTAACAATGCTGAGACTAATCAGTGCAAATTCATAATTTTCAATTGATATCAAATTAAGGGCATCAGGGAATGTTGTAGGATTGTGTGTGTTTGATGTCTGTCTGTGAATGTTTTAGGTGCTTTTTGATGCTGATTAATTATTGCACCATTTTTTAAATTGATTTTTTTTTTAGGTTCATGGTGATACAGGTTAACTTTGAGGTTCATGCAGATGGTGTTTAAAACTATCAGTCAGGAAAAACAAACTCATTTGAACACAGCTTGAGTCTTCATATATAAAATGATGGCAGTGCTTTTAATATGTAAGTTGAATTTTCTAAAGCTTCTTTGTGTGTATGTGTGTGTGTGCGGGAGGAGGGGGGGGGGGGTGTTAAAGCTTAGTAAATGTAGATTTTAAATGAATATTTGAGCAATGAAAGTGAACATCAAACTAATCTGTACATGTATGCTATATATTTTACAGCTAATATGTTTTAAAGAGAATTTCAAAACAGTTACATTCATAGTGTCGTGTATGATAAAATATTAAGATTAAAAAATATAAGAGTTGAAATTTCTTTAATATTTGTCAGTCAGAATGAGCGACTTGTAAGGAAATTCAAAACTTTCAAAGTTCTCTTTCATTTTCCTACAAATTACAAAATGGTTACCATGGAAACAAAACATTTTCTGTAGACTATTTATTTGATCTGCTCATGCAAGTATTTTTGTTATTTTATAGTTATAATGAATATTTTAGTTCTAATTTCAACTTTAATTAAAAGTACGGGAAAAGTAACACTACATGTGTAATAAGCAATCCATTATTATGATGTCATTATGACGTCATAGATGAGTGACCTTGCATTGGCGTAAAAATTGCTTTGAAACAGATGAATGTTTACAAGAATATAAGGGCTTATAACTTCTTTATTCCTATACCAATTTTCCTGAATGATGCATCAATGGACAGGAAATAATCAGTACTTTCTATTTTTACTACTTTCGGGGTATTTGTAAACTTAATTTTTTTTGTCAATCATGGAGAAACAATGAATTCAAGGGTGAGGGATATAAAATTTTGTGCAAAAATGCATTGATTTTTTAAAATAAGACAAATGGACCCGTATGAGTGCTTGATTATGATTTTGCTTGATGTATTTAAAATTATGAAAGAGAATAAAAATGGTATAAGTACATTAATAGGCTAACCGATGACTTAAAATTTGGGTGCAGTTGTGGCTAGATGGAAGCATTTTAAAAGAATTTGCATATAGAACTGTGCATGCTGTAAAATCTTTATTAATGATTGAATTTTCCTGAAATTTGGCATAATGTCACTACATAGTCTGTAGTATGACTTATGATGTTAAATGTTGTAAAATCCAGAAAATTCTTTTCAATATGTGAAGCCTATTGGTAAGAGAAAATTCTCACAGAACTTTACTTTGTTTTGAACTCGGTGTTTACTATCATTTCCAATTGTTTAAATTTATGAAAGAAGCAAATTTTAATTTGTTTATACATATTTTGAAACAAATCGATTTGTTAATACCCCCCCCCCCCCCCCTTTTAGGAACAGACAGCTTATGCGCATATCTCCCATTGTGTACACATGTAGCATGTAAATTAAATGTATCGATTCTATACAATTTATTAATTCCGAGCCATTAATAGATATTTAGAAAAGGAACAATTATTTTAGAAGTACATCCACCACTATTGTTTATCATCAATACACAAAAGTTCAGAAATGAGGTCGGAATCAGTATTCAGTGAAGTTCAAGGTCAAAGTGAAAGTAGAATGGCAGTAAGTTATCAACACTGCTTAGTGCAGCTATGCTACCTAATGCAGAGTCTTGCAGCATGTAGGTGATATGCATTTGTCATTTTATGAAAGAGGTAAAGAAAAAAGAGGTTTCCATGCTTTATTACAATATTTGTAAATGAAAACTTTTATTTTCATGGAATAGAATTACATGAACGAGGACATACATGTGCATTTTTTCAAAGAAGTCGGTCAGGCTACAGTTGTGTAGAAGTTAAGCAGTGTGTGTGTGAACATGCACACTAACATTTTTTTTTTTTTTATATTTTATTAACTGGATTACATGTATTTGTCTAATGTATAATTATTGTCAGTTACATGCTTTTTACCTGTATTATTAATTTACATGTAATTTAACAATGCTGAGACTAATCAGTGCAAATTCATAATTTTCAATTGATATCAAATTAAGGGCATCAGGGAATGTTGTAGGATTGTGTGTGTTTGATGTCTGTCTGTGAATGTTTTAGGTGCTTTTTGATGCTGATTAATTATTGCACCATTTTTTAAATTGATTTTTTTTTTAGGTTCATGGTGATACAGGTTAACTTTGAGGTTCATGCAGATGGTGTTTAAAACTATCAGTCAGGAAAAACAAACTCATTTGAACACAGCTTGAGTCTTCATATATAAAATGATGGCAGTGCTTTTAATATGTAAGTTGAATTTTCTAAAGCTTCTTTGTGTGTATGTGTGTGTGTGCGGGAGGAGGGGGGGGGGTGTTAAAGCTTAGTAAATGTAGATTTTAAATGAATATTTGAGCAATGAAAGTGAACATCAAACTAATCTGTACATGTATGCTATATATTTTACAGCTAATATGTTTTAAAGAGAATTTCAAAACAGTTACATTCATAGTGTCGTGTATGATAAAATATTAAGATTAAAAAATATAAGAGTTGAAATTTCTTTAATATTTGTCAGTCAGAATGAGCGACTTGTAAGGAAATTCAAAACTTTCAAAGTTCTCTTTCATTTTCCTACAAATTACAAAATGGTTACCATGGAAACAAAACATTTTCTGTAGACTATTTATTTGATCTGCTCATGCAAGTATTTTTGTTATTTTATAGTTATAATGAATATTTTAGTTCTAATTTCAACTTTAATTAAAAGTACGGGAAAAGTAACACTACATGTGTAATAAGCAATCCATTATTATGATGTCATTATGACGTCATAGATGAGTGACCTTGCATTGGCGTAAAAATTGCTTTGAAACAGATGAATGTTTACAAGAATATAAGGGCTTATAACTTCTTTATTCCTATACCAATTTTCCTGAATGATGCATCAATGGACAGGAAATAATCAGTACTTTCTATTTTTACTACTTTCGGGGTATTTGTAAACTTAATTTTTTTTGTCAATCATGGAGAAACAATGAATTCAAGGGTGAGGGATATAAAATTTTGTGCAAAAATGCATTGATTTTTTAAAATAAGACAAATGGACCCGTATGAGTGCTTGATTATGATTTTGCTTGATGTATTTAAAATTATGAAAGAGAATAAAAATGGTATAAGTACATTAATAGGCTAACCGATGACTTAAAATTTGGGTGCAGTTGTGGCTAGATGGAAGCATTTTAAAAGAATTTGCATATAGAACTGTGCATGCTGTAAAATCTTTATTAATGATTGAATTTTCCTGAAATTTGGCATAATGTCACTACATAGTCTGTAGTATGACTTATGATGTTAAATGTTGTAAAATCCAGAAAATTCTTTTCATATTGGGTACATACCTCTAATTATTTTTAGAATCGGTAGGAGAAGAAAGTAGTGCAGAAAAAATTACAAGTTCTTTAATTTGCAGACCTGAGTAAAAAAAACTGTGATAAGGTATTAAACTGAGCCTCATACTTGTTGATAAGGAGTATGTTCCCTTGCAAAAAAGCTTGGCAGATGTAATTTATCAAGAAGATCAGCAGAATTATTTTATGTATTATAACACCAGTGAGAAGTCTTGAAATCCCCTACTTTCACTTTCATTTTCAGAGGTTAACGCAGACAGACGCATTTTGCCGGAAAACGAATCTGACATGCCACCTCGAGATTTTAACCAAGGAAAGACAACTTGATGTGCTTTGATTTGAGGGGTCACTCAATGCTGAACGAAAATTAGGGACATTGCTATGTGAAGAAATGTTAACATTGCCGCCTATGGGAAAACAATTAGTGGGCTGTACCCAATATGTGAAGCCTATTGGTAAGAGAAAATTCTCACAGAACTTTACTTTGTTTTGAACTCGGTGTTTACTATCATTTCCAATTGTTTAAATTTATGAAAGAAGCAAATTTTAATTTGTTTATACATATTTTGAAACAAATCGATTTGTTAATACCCCCCCCCCCCCTTTTAGGAACAGACAGCTTATGCGCATATCTCCCATTGTGTACACATGTAGCATGTAAATTAAATGTATCGATTCTATACAATTTATTAATTCCGAGCCATTAATAGATATTTAGAAAAGGAACAATTATTTTAGAAGTACATCCACCACTATTGTTTATCATCAATACACAAAAGTTCAGAAATGAGGTCGGAATCAGTATTCAGTGAAGTTCAAGGTCAAAGTGAAAGTAGAATGGCAGTAAGTTATCAACACTGCTTAGTGCAGCTATGCTACCTAATGCAGAGTCTTGCAGCATGTAGGTGATATGCATTTGTCATTTTATGAAAGAGGTAAAGAAAAAAGAGGTTTCCATGCTTTATTACAATATTTGTAAATGAAAACTTTTATTTTCATGGAATAGAATTACATGAACGAGGACATACATGTGCATTTTTTCAAAGAAGTCGGTCAGGCTACAGTTGTGTAGAAGTTAAGCAGTGTGTGTGTGAACATGCACACTAACATTTTTTTTTTTTTTATATTTTATTAACTGGATTACATGTATTTGTCTAATGTATAATTATTGTCAGTTACATGCTTTTTACCTGTATTATTAATTTACATGTAATTTAACAATGCTGAGACTAATCAGTGCAAATTCATAATTTTCAATTGATATCAAATTAAGGGCATCAGGGAATGTTGTAGGATTGTGTGTGTTTGATGTCTGTCTGTGAATGTTTTAGGTGCTTTTTGATGCTGATTAATTATTGCACCATTTTTTAAATTGATTTTTTTTTTAGGTTCATGGTGATACAGGTTAACTTTGAGGTTCATGCAGATGGTGTTTAAAACTATCAGTCAGGAAAAACAAACTCATTTGAACACAGCTTGAGTCTTCATATATAAAATGATGGCAGTGCTTTTAATATGTAAGTTGAATTTTCTAAAGCTTCTTTGTGTGTATGTGTGTGTGTGCGGGAGGAGGGGGGGGGGGTGTTAAAGCTTAGTAAATGTAGATTTTAAATGAATATTTGAGCAATGAAAGTGAACATCAAACTAATCTGTACATGTATGCTATATATTTTACAGCTAATATGTTTTAAAGAGAATTTCAAAACAGTTACATTCATAGTGTCGTGTATGATAAAATATTAAGATTAAAAAATATAAGAGTTGAAATTTCTTTAATATTTGTCAGTCAGAATGAGCGACTTGTAAGGAAATTCAAAACTTTCAAAGTTCTCTTTCATTTTCCTACAAATTACAAAATGGTTACCATGGAAACAAAACATTTTCTGTAGACTATTTATTTGATCTGCTCATGCAAGTATTTTTGTTATTTTATAGTTATAATGAATATTTTAGTTCTAATTTCAACTTTAATTAAAAGTACGGGAAAAGTAACACTACATGTGTAATAAGCAATCCATTATTATGATGTCATTATGACGTCATAGATGAGTGACCTTGCATTGGCGTAAAAATTGCTTTGAAACAGATGAATGTTTACAAGAATATAAGGGCTTATAACTTCTTTATTCCTATACCAATTTTCCTGAATGATGCATCAATGGACAGGAAATAATCAGTACTTTCTATTTTTACTACTTTCAGGGTATTTGTAAACTTAATTTTTTTTGTCAATCATGGAGAAACAATGAATTCAAGGGTGAGGGATATAAAATTTTGTGCAAAAATGCATTGATTTTTTAAAATAAGACAAATGGACCCGTATGAGTGCTTGATTATGATTTTGCTTGATGTATTTAAAATTATGAAAGAGAATAAAAATGGTATAAGTACATTAATAGGCTAACCGATGACTTAAAATTTGGGTGCAGTTGTGGCTAGATGGAAGCATTTTAAAAGAATTTGCATATAGAACTGTGCATGCTGTAAAATCTTTATTAATGATTGAATTTTCCTGAAATTTGGCATAATGTCACTACATAGTCTGTAGTATGACTTATGATGTTAAATGTTGTAAAATCCAGAAAATTCTTTTCATATTGGGTACATACCTCTAATTATTTTTAGAATCGGTAGGAGAAGAAAGTAGTGCAGAAAAAATTACAAGTTCTTTAATTTGCAGACCTGAGTAAAAAAAACTGTGATAAGGTATTAAACTGAGCCTCATACTTGTTGATAAGGAGTATGTTCCCTTGCAAAAAAGCTTGGCAGATGTAATTTATCAAGAAGATCAGCAGAATTATTTTATGTATTATAACACCAGTGAGAAGTCTTGAAATCCCCTACTTTCACTTTCATTTTCAGAGGTTAACGCAGACAGACGCATTTTGCCGGAAAACGAATCTGACATGCCACCTCGAGATTTTAACCAAGGAAAGACAACTTGATGTGCTTTGATTTGAGGGGTCACTCAATGCTGAACGAAAATTAGGGACATTGCTATGTGAAGAAATGTTAACATTGCCGCCTATGGGAAAACAATTAGTGGGCTGTACCCAATATGTGAAGCCTATTGGTAAGAGAAAATTCTCACAGAACTTTACTTTGTTTTGAACTCGGTGTTTACTATCATTTCCAATTGTTTAAATTTATGAAAGAAGCAAATTTTAATTTGTTTATACATATTTTGAAACAAATCGATTTGTTAATACCCCCCCCCCCCCCCCTTTTAGGAACAGACAGCTTATGCGCATATCTCCCATTGTGTACACATGTAGCATGTAAATTAAATGTATCGATTCTATACAATTTATTAATTCCGAGCCATTAATAGATATTTAGAAAAGGAACAATTATTTTAGAAGTACATCCACCACTATTGTTTATCATCAATACACAAAAGTTCAGAAATGAGGTCGGAATCAGTATTCAGTGAAGTTCAAGGTCAAAGTGAAAGTAGAATGGCAGTAAGTTATCAACACTGCTTAGTGCAGCTATGCTACCTAATGCAGAGTCTTGCAGCATGTAGGTGATATGCATTTGTCATTTTATGAAAGAGGTAAAGAAAAAAGAGGTTTCCATGCTTTATTACAATATTTGTAAATGAAAACTTTTATTTTCATGGAATAGAATTACATGAACGAGGACATACATGTGCATTTTTTCAAAGAAGTCGGTCAGGCTACAGTTGTGTAGAAGTTAAGCAGTGTGTGTGTGAACATGCACACTAACATTTTTTTTTTTTTTATATTTTATTAACTGGATTACATGTATTTGTCTAATGTATAATTATTGTCAGTTACATGCTTTTTACCTGTATTATTAATTTACATGTAATTTAACAATGCTGAGACTAATCAGTGCAAATTCATAATTTTCAATTGATATCAAATTAAGGGCATCAGGGAATGTTGTAGGATTGTGTGTGTTTGATGTCTGTCTGTGAATGTTTTAGGTGCTTTTTGATGCTGATTAATTATTGCACCATTTTTTAAATTGATTTTTTTTTTAGGTTCATGGTGATACAGGTTAACTTTGAGGTTCATGCAGATGGTGTTTAAAACTATCAGTCAGGAAAAACAAACTCATTTGAACACAGCTTGAGTCTTCATATATAAAATGATGGCAGTGCTTTTAATATGTAAGTTGAATTTTCTAAAGCTTCTTTGTGTGTATGTGTGTGTGTGCGGGAGGAGGGGGGGGGGTGTTAAAGCTTAGTAAATGTAGATTTTAAATGAATATTTGAGCAATGAAAGTGAACATCAAACTAATCTGTACATGTATGCTATATATTTTACAGCTAATATGTTTTAAAGAGAATTTCAAAACAGTTACATTCATAGTGTCGTGTATGATAAAATATTAAGATTAAAAAATATAAGAGTTGAAATTTCTTTAATATTTGTCAGTCAGAATGAGCGACTTGTAAGGAAATTCAAAACTTTCAAAGTTCTCTTTCATTTTCCTACAAATTACAAAATGGTTACCATGGAAACAAAACATTTTCTGTAGACTATTTATTTGATCTGCTCATGCAAGTATTTTTGTTATTTTATAGTTATAATGAATATTTTAGTTCTAATTTCAACTTTAATTAAAAGTACGGGAAAAGTAACACTACATGTGTAATAAGCAATCCATTATTATGATGTCATTATGACGTCATAGATGAGTGACCTTGCATTGGCGTAAAAATTGCTTTGAAACAGATGAATGTTTACAAGAATATAAGGGCTTATAACTTCTTTATTCCTATACCAATTTTCCTGAATGATGCATCAATGGACAGGAAATAATCAGTACTTTCTATTTTTACTACTTTCGGGGTATTTGTAAACTTAATTTTTTTTGTCAATCATGGAGAAACAATGAATTCAAGGGTGAGGGATATAAAATTTTGTGCAAAAATGCATTGATTTTTTAAAATAAGACAAATGGACCCGTATGAGTGCTTGATTATGATTTTGCTTGATGTATTTAAAATTATGAAAGAGAATAAAAATGGTATAAGTACATTAATAGGCTAACCGATGACTTAAAATTTGGGTGCAGTTGTGGCTAGATGGAAGCATTTTAAAAGAATTTGCATATAGAACTGTGCATGCTGTAAAATCTTTATTAATGATTGAATTTTCCTGAAATTTGGCATAATGTCACTACATAGTCTGTAGTATGACTTATGATGTTAAATGTTGTAAAATCCAGAAAATTCTTTTCATATTGGGTACATACCTCTAATTATTTTTAGAATCGGTAGGAGAAGAAAGTAGTGCAGAAAAAATTACAAGTTCTTTAATTTGCAGACCTGAGTAAAAAAAACTGTGATAAGGTATTAAACTGAGCCTCATACTTGTTGATAAGGAGTATGTTCCCTTGCAAAAAAGCTTGGCAGATGTAATTTATCAAGAAGATCAGCAGAATTATTTTATGTATTATAACACCAGTGAGAAGTCTTGAAATCCCCTACTTTCACTTTCATTTTCAGAGGTTAACGCAGACAGACGCATTTTGCCGGAAAACGAATCTGACATGCCACCTCGAGATTTTAACCAAGGAAAGACAACTTGATGTGCTTTGATTTGAGGGGTCACTCAATGCTGAACGAAAATTAGGGACATTGCTATGTGAAGAAATGTTAACATTGCCGCCTATGGGAAAACAATTAGTGGGCTGTACCCAATATGTGAAGCCTATTGGTAAGAGAAAATTCTCACAGAACTTTACTTTGTTTTGAACTCGGTGTTTACTATCATTTCCAATTGTTTAAATTTATGAAAGAAGCAAATTTTAATTTGTTTATACATATTTTGAAACAAATCGATTTGTTAATACCCCCCCCCCCCCTTTTAGGAACAGACAGCTTATGCGCATATCTCCCATTGTGTACACATGTAGCATGTAAATTAAATGTATCGATTCTATACAATTTATTAATTCCGAGCCATTAATAGATATTTAGAAAAGGAACAATTATTTTAGAAGTACATCCACCACTATTGTTTATCATCAATACACAAAAGTTCAGAAATGAGGTCGGAATCAGTATTCAGTGAAGTTCAAGGTCAAAGTGAAAGTAGAATGGCAGTAAGTTATCAACACTGCTTAGTGCAGCTATGCTACCTAATGCAGAGTCTTGCAGCATGTAGGTGATATGCATTTGTCATTTTATGAAAGAGGTAAAGAAAAAAGAGGTTTCCATGCTTTATTACAATATTTGTAAATGAAAACTTTTATTTTCATGGAATAGAATTACATGAACGAGGACATACATGTGCATTTTTTCAAAGAAGTCGGTCAGGCTACAGTTGTGTAGAAGTTAAGCAGTGTGTGTGTGAACATGCACACTAACATTTTTTTTTTTTTTATATTTTATTAACTGGATTACATGTATTTGTCTAATGTATAATTATTGTCAGTTACATGCTTTTTACCTGTATTATTAATTTACATGTAATTTAACAATGCTGAGACTAATCAGTGCAAATTCATAATTTTCAATTGATATCAAATTAAGGGCATCAGGGAATGTTGTAGGATTGTGTGTGTTTGATGTCTGTCTGTGAATGTTTTAGGTGCTTTTTGATGCTGATTAATTATTGCACCATTTTTTAAATTGATTTTTTTTTTAGGTTCATGGTGATACAGGTTAACTTTGAGGTTCATGCAGATGGTGTTTAAAACTATCAGTCAGGAAAAACAAACTCATTTGAACACAGCTTGAGTCTTCATATATAAAATGATGGCAGTGCTTTTAATATGTAAGTTGAATTTTCTAAAGCTTCTTTGTGTGTATGTGTGTGTGTGCGGGAGGAGGGGGGGGGGGTGTTAAAGCTTAGTAAATGTAGATTTTAAATGAATATTTGAGCAATGAAAGTGAACATCAAACTAATCTGTACATGTATGCTATATATTTTACAGCTAATATGTTTTAAAGAGAATTTCAAAACAGTTACATTCATAGTGTCGTGTATGATAAAATATTAAGATTAAAAAATATAAGAGTTGAAATTTCTTTAATATTTGTCAGTCAGAATGAGCGACTTGTAAGGAAATTCAAAACTTTCAAAGTTCTCTTTCATTTTCCTACAAATTACAAAATGGTTACCATGGAAACAAAACATTTTCTGTAGACTATTTATTTGATCTGCTCATGCAAGTATTTTTGTTATTTTATAGTTATAATGAATATTTTAGTTCTAATTTCAACTTTAATTAAAAGTACGGGAAAAGTAACACTACATGTGTAATAAGCAATCCATTATTATGATGTCATTATGACGTCATAGATGAGTGACCTTGCATTGGCGTAAAAATTGCTTTGAAACAGATGAATGTTTACAAGAATATAAGGGCTTATAACTTCTTTATTCCTATACCAATTTTCCTGAATGATGCATCAATGGACAGGAAATAATCAGTACTTTCTATTTTTACTACTTTCGGGGTATTTGTAAACTTAATTTTTTTTGTCAATCATGGAGAAACAATGAATTCAAGGGTGAGGGATATAAAATTTTGTGCAAAAATGCATTGATTTTTTAAAATAAGACAAATGGACCCGTATGAGTGCTTGATTATGATTTTGCTTGATGTATTTAAAATTATGAAAGAGAATAAAAATGGTATAAGTACATTAATAGGCTAACCGATGACTTAAAATTTGGGTGCAGTTGTGGCTAGATGGAAGCATTTTAAAAGAATTTGCATATAGAACTGTGCATGCTGTAAAATCTTTATTAATGATTGAATTTTCCTGAAATTTGGCATAATGTCACTACATAGTCTGTAGTATGACTTATGATGTTAAATGTTGTAAAATCCAGAAAATTCTTTTCATATTGGGTACATACCTCTAATTATTTTTAGAATCGGTAGGAGAAGAAAGTAGTGCAGAAAAAATTACAAGTTCTTTAATTTGCAGACCTGAGTAAAAAAAACTGTGATAAGGTATTAAACTGAGCCTCATACTTGTTGATAAGGAGTATGTTCCCTTGCAAAAAAGCTTGGCAGATGTAATTTATCAAGAAGATCAGCAGAATTATTTTATGTATTATAACACCAGTGAGAAGTCTTGAAATCCCCTACTTTCACTTTCATTTTCAGAGGTTAACGCAGACAGACGCATTTTGCCGGAAAACGAATCTGACATGCCACCTCGAGATTTTAACCAAGGAAAGACAACTTGATGTGCTTTGATTTGAGGGGTCACTCAATGCTGAACGAAAATTAGGGACATTGCTATGTGAAGAAATGTTAACATTGCCGCCTATGGGAAAACAATTAGTGGGCTGTACCCAATATGTGAAGCCTATTGGTAAGAGAAAATTCTCACAGAACTTTACTTTGTTTTGAACTCGGTGTTTACTATCATTTCCAATTGTTTAAATTTATGAAAGAAGCAAATTTTAATTTGTTTATACATATTTTGAAACAAATCGATTTGTTAATACCCCCCCCCCCCTTTTAGGAACAGACAGCTTATGCGCATATCTCCCATTGTGTACACATGTAGCATGTAAATTAAATGTATCGATTCTATACAATTTATTAATTCCGAGCCATTAATAGATATTTAGAAAAGGAACAATTATTTTAGAAGTACATCCACCACTATTGTTTATCATCAATACACAAAAGTTCAGAAATGAGGTCGGAATCAGTATTCAGTGAAGTTCAAGGTCAAAGTGAAAGTAGAATGGCAGTAAGTTATCAACACTGCTTAGTGCAGCTATGCTACCTAATGCAGAGTCTTGCAGCATGTAGGTGATATGCATTTGTCATTTTATGAAAGAGGTAAAGAAAAAAGAGGTTTCCATGCTTTATTACAATATTTGTAAATGAAAACTTTTATTTTCATGGAATAGAATTACATGAACGAGGACATACATGTGCATTTTTTCAAAGAAGTCGGTCAGGCTACAGTTGTGTAGAAGTTAAGCAGTGTGTGTGTGAACATGCACACTAACATTTTTTTTTTTTTTATATTTTATTAACTGGATTACATGTATTTGTCTAATGTATAATTATTGTCAGTTACATGCTTTTTACCTGTATTATTAATTTACATGTAATTTAACAATGCTGAGACTAATCAGTGCAAATTCATAATTTTCAATTGATATCAAATTAAGGGCATCAGGGAATGTTGTAGGATTGTGTGTGTTTGATGTCTGTCTGTGAATGTTTTAGGTGCTTTTTGATGCTGATTAATTATTGCACCATTTTTTAAATTGATTTTTTTTTTAGGTTCATGGTGATACAGGTTAACTTTGAGGTTCATGCAGATGGTGTTTAAAACTATCAGTCAGGAAAAACAAACTCATTTGAACACAGCTTGAGTCTTCATATATAAAATGATGGCAGTGCTTTTAATATGTAAGTTGAATTTTCTAAAGCTTCTTTGTGTGTATGTGTGTGTGTGCGGGAGGAGGGGGGGGGGTGTTAAAGCTTAGTAAATGTAGATTTTAAATGAATATTTGAGCAATGAAAGTGAACATCAAACTAATCTGTACATGTATGCTATATATTTTACAGCTAATATGTTTTAAAGAGAATTTCAAAACAGTTACATTCATAGTGTCGTGTATGATAAAATATTAAGATTAAAAAATATAAGAGTTGAAATTTCTTTAATATTTGTCAGTCAGAATGAGCGACTTGTAAGGAAATTCAAAACTTTCAAAGTTCTCTTTCATTTTCCTACAAATTACAAAATGGTTACCATGGAAACAAAACATTTTCTGTAGACTATTTATTTGATCTGCTCATGCAAGTATTTTTGTTATTTTATAGTTATAATGAATATTTTAGTTCTAATTTCAACTTTAATTAAAAGTACGGGAAAAGTAACACTACATGTGTAATAAGCAATCCATTATTATGATGTCATTATGACGTCATAGATGAGTGACCTTGCATTGGCGTAAAAATTGCTTTGAAACAGATGAATGTTTACAAGAATATAAGGGCTTATAACTTCTTTATTCCTATACCAATTTTCCTGAATGATGCATCAATGGACAGGAAATAATCAGTACTTTCTATTTTTACTACTTTCGGGGTATTTGTAAACTTAATTTTTTTTGTCAATCATGGAGAAACAATGAATTCAAGGGTGAGGGATATAAAATTTTGTGCAAAAATGCATTGATTTTTTAAAATAAGACAAATGGACCCGTATGAGTGCTTGATTATGATTTTGCTTGATGTATTTAAAATTATGAAAGAGAATAAAAATGGTATAAGTACATTAATAGGCTAACCGATGACTTAAAATTTGGGTGCAGTTGTGGCTAGATGGAAGCATTTTAAAAGAATTTGCATATAGAACTGTGCATGCTGTAAAATCTTTATTAATGATTGAATTTTCCTGAAATTTGGCATAATGTCACTACATAGTCTGTAGTATGACTTATGATGTTAAATGTTGTAAAATCCAGAAAATTCTTTTCATATTGGGTACATACCTCTAATTATTTTTAGAATCGGTAGGAGAAGAAAGTAGTGCAGAAAAAATTACAAGTTCTTTAATTTGCAGACCTGAGTAAAAAAAACTGTGATAAGGTATTAAACTGAGCCTCATACTTGTTGATAAGGAGTATGTTCCCTTGCAAAAAAGCTTGGCAGATGTAATTTATCAAGAAGATCAGCAGAATTATTTTATGTATTATAACACCAGTGAGAAGTCTTGAAATCCCCTACTTTCACTTTCATTTTCAGAGGTTAACGCAGACAGACGCATTTTGCCGGAAAACGAATCTGACATGCCACCTCGAGATTTTAACCAAGGAAAGACAACTTGATGTGCTTTGATTTGAGGGGTCACTCAATGCTGAACGAAAATTAGGGACATTGCTATGTGAAGAAATGTTAACATTGCCGCCTATGGGAAAACAATTAGTGGGCTGTACCCGGATATCGCAATTTTTTCTCGACCCATTGACTTTGAGATAATAAGGTTTAACTGTATTTGTTTATTTTTTTTTTTTCATTAACTATCAAAACCTGTTTAATTTGGATGCTTGTTTCATTTATAAATATGATATAAATTATCTGTTATTTTAAGCCGTCAGAATTCGTAATTCTGAGATCTGAGAAATATCATCTCAACTTTGAGTGTTCAAGATTAATAATACAGAAAATGGCAAATTGACCTAGTCTAGAAACCCCAATCAATCAAACTTATATAGGTCAAGGATTGGGTGCAAGCAATTGGTTGACATCTACTTTCTTGTCTCCGAGTATACCTTGTATATCCGATTGTACCTTGTCTAGGGTTCATGTAATTTGTCAAGTTAACTTTCGGTTTTTTTGATGATTACCGCATATACCAATCCAACAACGAAAATTGTTTGGCTTTGCAAACTATTTCAGTAACTGTAATATGTAAAATCATTTTTTGAATAATAAAACTATTGATAATAAATCATTCTTAGGTTATAATTTTTTCAAGTTACTTAATTGAACATTATGGAGTGTGTACACCAAATTCACATGTACATTGATTTTAATGTTCTTCGAACGGTGTGGGAAGTTGATCGATATGTAGTTACAAATTAAAATCCGCCGCCATACGCATGTAAGCACGTAAGTTCAATAATGCATTTCCCTCTGTAGTTTATTTATGCATTTTCATACATCACTTGAATATATTTTTTTAACATGTCATACATGTACAAACGCCTCTTGAAAATGTGATCAAATGCACATTCAACTAAAATTCAAACCTGTTCTGTATGAGATAGATATTTGCTGATTTCCTTTTCTTTTATTCGTTATCCATACTTTTTGTATTATTTGGATGTCAAATCAAAAGTTCACCCATTCAACCAATTTCCAGAAAAAAGGTAGCAAACGTGGAGCTGAATAAATTTTATATTATCATAAGCTAACAAATGTGCTGTATACATGGACATTTAATGTATCTCGAAAATTGATGTAAATAATGTAATGATGTCACACATTGATGTGTTTTGACTTTCTGAAATCACATTTGGTTGTTGCAACATAAAACTAAATCATCATTACTAGTTATAATCGTATCTTGTATGTCATTTACCACGAATTCAATAGAATTATACCAATCATCTCCATTTTTACCAAACTTTTCTTTAAAAGCATTCATAAGCATTTTTTAAAGTGAAAAACAAATAACGCAATAGAATAAATGAGACATAATTAATATTCCTATTCCCTTTTAGCTAATACAAGTTTTTTGTTTTTGTTTGTTTGTTTTTTTTCTTTTTTGTTTAAAAAAAAGTACTAGGTTCAAATTTTCTGTGTTAATTTTTGACGACCCTTCATTTGTATATTGCTTTCATCAAATTTGAATACTTTATTTACATAAAAAAATTGCATGACTGAGTACTCTAAATTTTTGCTCAAGTAACACTATAAATAACATTATTTTTTCTTTTGCTCCAGCTTTGTTTGAATCAATTATTAATTACGCAGGTATGTTAAGGCAGTATCCAGATCATATTTCGGCGAATTAAGACTTTTTTCGTAAAATGTAACATTGATGAATCGAATAAGCCATAGATAAAACATTTACTATTATTATCCATTGTATAGACGTCATTGAGTCTTTGGCTAAAAGAAGCACTCCACTACGACGTCATCACGTGACGTCTATAAATAGAAAAATTGCCTTAATGAAAAAGTGAAAAGTTCAACACTGCCCCGTAGATAATTCATTTCTTTTAGTGAAAATAATTATGTAAAAACATCATTGGGCCATGAAAAGTGCTGCTAGAGCTGCTAGAGTGCTCCCGACACAGAAAAAAATACTCCAAAGTTTCGCGTGAAACCTTACCAAAATTTTAACATTTTATACATACAATCAAGGAATTGTTATCAATTCATGTTAACCACACGATTATAGCAGCACATTCCAAATACTATAGAATACAAGCTTTCGATATAAAAAAAATTATGTTTCAAAGTATGCGGCGTAGTGTTGAACTTTTGCATCTTTGTTCATATAGAGCGACAGAGGAAAGGCTGATCAGGATTTCAAAGCGCTGCCTCTGTTCATTATAAGAAAACATGATAAGAATATATAAGCGTGCCTGATTCTTAATCTTTAATTCCTTATGAATCACACATACCATTCACGGTATATGCTTTAAAACTCTCATTTCATATATTTGTTTACATGAATTCTCGTCGCCTTTAATTTCACTCGGCAAATATTTGATCGATAGTTATGACGTCGTGGTTTGGTATTTAACCCCCGTGATAAATACTTGGCTATTTAAACCACCCAAAAACAACACGATTTCGTGTATATTATGTTTTGAATGATTCCATTCATTTCTTGGACCTGAAATTCAACTTTAAATATAGATATTAAGAAATCATTATTTCTAAACTTCACGTCATACAGCTTAATATGACGTCATATTGTAAAGGCAAGTAGGATATCTCAGGGTGTAGCCTTAACATACCCGAGTAATTATTGTTCCAGGCATCAAACCAATAGCTGGGAGGTTGGAAAGTTTACCAAAACGATCAAAAAAGGAAGAAATGAAGATATTCCAAGGACTTCGTAGAGATCAAAAAAGAATTTACAATCTAATGAAAATGTTGCCTCCACCAGGATAATTAATCCTGAAGTAATACACGATTACTTGTAAAACTTGATGTGAAATAAAACAAATGTTAAAATCGTGTGGTTCTAAATACTGTAAACCTGATTACAGCGAACATGCTTATTATGGATTTATACAAATATGCAAAATGATTTTCAATCCCTGTAGTTTTAGAAATAATATTATGAACTTAAAGGATACTATACAATTATGGACTTTTTTGGAGATGAATAAGGTTTGATATTCACCAGAAAAAAATATCAATATTGACCGCGGCGAAGCGAAGTTCAATACCAATATTTTATGGTGAATATCAAACGATAGTCACCACCAAAAGAGCCCACAACTGTTTTGTTATATAGTCCGGATTCGAAGAAACAAGACACGGAATGCGTTTTGACAAAACCATTTTCAATATCGAACTCTGTTGCAGAAAGATTCAAGCAAAATGTCAACGTTACATGTCATATCTTCCATGTTTTCCTTTCGTAGTGTACAAGACATCATTTCCAGTCGAAATGTTTAGATGAAAATCCGGCAATAGGTTTTCCTAACGCTTTCCCAGTTAAGATACACAGCTGGCTTCAGCCATTGCAACCATTGTTTACAACGATATTTGAGGTGTTGTTTGTGAGGTCACAATCGCCGCTGCACATGCAATTTCCCTCCGGTGAATATATCTTTGAATCCAATGAATATGTACTGTGTAAACCGTTTTCATTTGTATAGATTATATAGAGACTATAAATAGACTATATCCTAAAGCAAAATACAGTTATAACGAATCAAAATTACTCGCTGTTGGCACTTCCATAGGATGATATTACACATACTGGTCGACGGAATGGTAGCTGAGTTACCATCGAAAGATCACTGAAAAGTCACTGAAAGGAGTCTGTCAGTGACATTTCCCTTGGCTTTTCATTTTCAATTCCTTGTGTGAATGCCAAATACATTTCAGTAGTCTTTCAGTCCTCTTTCAATTGTATCTTTTGACTTCATAATCTGCCTATATTTTTTTCTTACCAATTCATATTTACTTTTTCCTATTTGGATGGCATTAAATTTATTTATTTTTGTTTATTTTTGTATCAAAAAAAGAAAAGTGAACTTTAAAAAAGGGATTTTAGCAATAGCTGCAGTCGAACTGGGGATCACCACAATGATCTATGCTATTTTATGTTGAATAATATCAATAAATGTTGCAGAAATCAAATTAGGTCACCCAGGTCATCTGTTATCTAGTGAGAAGCTTGACGGTGAGACTTTAATTTGTATATTTATTGAATATTCTGTGTGTTTTTGATGACAAATACTGGTAACCAATTATTATTCGCGACTTCCCTTATTCGCGATTCTTCAGCTTGGTATCCATCCGCGACTACTAATTTTCGTGACCGAGGCAACATTCTACATAAATGCGTAGGTGAATAACTGGTTCGCGAAGAGAAATATTTGCGAGTGAAAAAAAGGTTGCAAAACTCGCAGATTTTTCTCGCTCGCGAAAAATTGTTGGTTTACAGTAGCTCATATGCTAAAATCACTGGGTAAATTTTTATAAGACATATGCACAAACAAGTTTGAATAAAAGTCTTCGAAAGAAATGTGTAACGTTTGACAATAATGTTGTTTTTATTCAAGCTATTGCAAAAATACCTCAGACATGTTTGATGACCCGTCATAGCTGAAAAATAAATTGAGTTATATTTATACATTAAAAATTCTTTCACATACACTGCCTTTTCCAACGGAGTCTCAAAAATTTTTCACGTTAATGAAGCTCTATACATTAATGAATGGTTTTGGACTTTGATAAACTTTCTCATATAAAAGTGTGGATATTGTGTTTATCTAGATCTTTTGTTCAATACAGGGTATATATTTATCAAGGATTAAGTGAAGTATAAGTTTAAAGAAATCACTGTTGTTTTCTGACATAAGGAATGTACATGCACACAATCATTTCATTACTTATTTGGTCTGATATAATACCGATTTTAGTATAATATTTTAAATCTAATATTCCAAAAAATGTAGGAACTATAAATTATTGATTGTTTCAGCTTATGTATACTCCCCTTTCACTGATGGTATTAAAATTATATAAATCGCGAGATAATGTACTTTATAGTAATCTGTTTCTAACAAATAAAACCCTGGGTTAACGTCATCGTTAAGCTAACAAACTCCTGGTATTTGGGGAAATGAAAATGGACAACATCTCCCAATGTGATCTACACGCTTTGTGATGTAACATATTGCTTCATTAGCCCTGATTTAAGATATTTA